AGCTAAGAGAATGCGAAAATTTCATGTTAAAAGCACTCAAAGTTCTATCGGTCCTCGGACACATCCCGGAATCCGAGCACCGGTACGGCGATGCAGAGCTGATGCTGTCTCACAGGCGTTAATATCCAGATGATCCAGAGCGATCTTGCGCAAAAAACGGTATAAAGTCTCATTCTTTTATATTTTCACATTATACCTGCGTCAGCGAGCACGAAGAAGCCCGAAGTCGTCGGAAAGCAGCTGCACATCACGGCTACCGCGCACCGAACAAACTCGCATCCGCCAGCTCTGGGCGCTGCCATCTTACCTGTGACGTCACGGCTCTTGGGAGGTCACGTGACGAGTGGTCACATTTGCGTAAAATATGGCGGCAACCGGGGGGGTGCCACTTCCGAACTTCCGGTTTATCACTCTAAGCCCCTCTACCTCGTTGGGCTTATCGTTCACCCTTTGCCAAATCACAACGAGACAAAGTATAATCGTGTGCTCTCACTCTGGCGCCGCCACCTGGCTGTTGCCGGCTGGCTATACACAACTGTGAAATAGGCTTTTAAAACGAAAATGGTTTCTCAGGGAAGTTTTGTTCTTCCTGTCGTCGCCTTTCCCCTTCCTGTTATGTTCCACGATGTCAGGGCCTATTGTAGCGATTAGCGGGTTCTGTTCTGCCTTTTTTGTCGCTTCAACGCTACTCGCACATGGCGCATTACGCGGCCGCGGAAGCAGACGGACGCCGAGAGGAGAGGGCACCGCCGGCCCTTAGCACGACGGTGAGTGGAGGGACGATAAAGGAGGGCGGGATTGTGATCGAGGCGCGAAGCTAGGCTTCAGTAATGCTTGAAGGACGATACGCCACGTCTCACGAAACTCTGGAACTAAACCGCCATGCCCCCAAAGTTAGTATTGTGAAATTTTCATTCACAATTTCCCAGAAAAGAGTCCGAAGTATGCTTCTATTTTGTTTTTCTTTTTTTCTTTCTTTTTTTTTGAGGAGGTACTTTTTTTTGTCATTCTTCAAGAGATTGTAAGATTGTGAAATTTCAATCTAGTATTTTCGCACACAGGTACACATGATTCAGCATAATGGCTGTTTCAAGAAAAGCTGGTCATATCGATCCGGCTAAAAGTAGGCATCACTCACGTAAGAAACACTGATGTCCTCTTGGTCTCTGCCTATGCTCATTTTTGCGAATCCTAGGGACGGTGTGTATAAAGACGGTGTATATTGGGTCTCAAAGTTTAAAAAGGTGAGGCTCCCTTGAGTAAACAAAAATAACTTAATACCGTGACTTTGCTACCTACGGCGTTCGCCCACTGAAAAAACACGTCTGCTTGGCGCAGTTCTCGACAGATGGAGACATGTAAAAGTGAGGGCGGAGACGCTGACCACCAATAACAAACTGTATTTTTTGACGAAATGCGACACGTGTTTGTTCGGTATAATGCATGATGTAGATACTTCTCCTCATATATCCGACTGAATAAATGCGAATCCAACTAGAACGTTTTTTTGGGTCTATATCGACCACACATATTAGCAACTAACGACATCTCTAGGTTACTGCGACACTCGAATGTCTTTCCTTTGCAGAAGGCCGCCGCAGGTGGCAACGTCACGCTCTTAATTGTTTACTGTTTGCTAGAATAAGCTCAATTTTCTAAAACAAAAATTGGTACGAAAATTGCATTATATTCGACATCCTCCACAGAAATCCTTAACTCGATAAGTTGACAAACCAAATTACGCGGTCCATTCAATGTGTCGACGATTAGTTTAACTTAAGCGGTACTCTCGATTCGTCAAAAGGAAGACGACAGACTAAATGCTAGCCGATGCGCTGACTTTAAAATAACACTTTGGCAGATCTTTTTGAGTTTTTTTTTTTGTTTTTTTTTTTTCATAGTCAAGGGCCGGGAACAGAATACTTCCGTTTTTGTTTTTATTTTAGTACGGACACTCTAATTTTTTTTTTTCTTTTATACAATAATGATTCTTGGTCCTGTTGCTCAAGGGTAGAATGGCTCACGAGATGCGACAATCCAGTGCTTCGGACCACGCCGCGAGTTTGGTGAAATATTTTTTTTTTGAAGCTATATCTTTTTTTGCGTAATAGGACGCTTAATGACGGGCGCTAAACGTTTTTGCTTTCAAAGCTCATGTGGGTCAATTTGACGTGAACGGCTTGTGAATTACAGCCAGTCAGAAAGCGACCAGCGTGTTCCTTAATAAATTTCTACATAAACTAGACTCGTCCTGTAAACGACAGCGCGCTGTTCACAAAACAAACCCGCTTTTTCTCACACCAGGTGTGGGCAGTGCGCATGCACGGGATCGAGATTCATGTGAAGTGAAGCGTGTGCGTATGCGCTCCACAGCCATATATGTAGAGAGTTTAGCCATTTGTTGGGTAGTAAAAGAGAGAAATTAGGAGGCGCCATTGGCTGAAAGCGGGCTGGGCGTGTGCCAGGGCGTCTTCGCAAATTCGAATCTGGCCAACCAGAAGCCGGAAATAATCCCCTGGTAGTGGTCACGAGAAACAAATATGATAATTGCGTCGGAGTAACTCTCGGCGACTGAAAATATGGTGCACGTGATGTTTTAATTACGGTCGTCCAAAATGAGGGTGGAAGGGTGCGACTTACGAAACGATTCACATAAGCCGTGCGCCAAGCGCCGGGGGCCGGGAATCTGCCGTCCGAGCGGTCACACACTGTCCGAGCAAAACATAGCTGAACGGCGCATTCGTTTCTTACATCCCTCTGCATGTTCAGGATCGAAATATCACGTGCACCGTATTTTCAACAGCTAAGGGTTACTACACTTTACTGTTAGGCGCTTATTAAAACCATGTACCAACATATACCTTTGATCAAAACAGTTTCTCGCTACCACCCCTAGAGGATTTCTTTAGGCTTCTGGTCGGCCAAGAGAGCATGCCAAGTCGACTTTCTGCGTCTGGTGCACGCCCTGTTTCTGCCCGCGCCTGCCATTGACCAAACTCTCTGTATACACGGCTCTGATGCGCCCTGCCGACAGCAGCGCCACCGCAGTGATGGGACGTCAGGGCCGTGCTAATGCTTATTAGTGATGCGCCAAACTTTTGCCGAGTCGAAAATTCGGCGCCGAACCTTTGGAATCGGTAAAGCCGAACTTTTGACGAACTTTTCTAAAGATTCGGCAGTGGTTCGTCAAAAGTACATTGCTACCAACCTTAAAGTTGATATTTAATTTTTTTCTGGCCAAACTTTTTTTATTTAAATGCAACATATCATGCATATTGACAGAGTTATTACTAAAGAAGGTGATATACTACAAGAAAATTCTATCGGTGTTGTAATTTGCGTGTTTACTAAAAATTTAGTGACTTCTTGCAGAAGTGGGGTGACAAAGAGGTTGGGTCATAGCGGACGCAGTCACGAATACCGTTAAGAGAGTTTCGGCTTTGAGTCCTCATCAGCGCAAGCCTGCAAGTGTGTGTGGTGTACATGATTAGTGCAAAGGCAATACTACTGCGTTCTTACTTTATCTGGAAGTCACAGTTTCGTGCGCGAAAAGAAAAACAACGGTTACTGAGCCTTGGCCAGAAAAGATAACTATATTGCTGTAAGTATGTATGTTTTTTTTTTTTTTTCGATTTGAGTAAGTTGACGTCAGTTTTGTATGAAAGTCTGTGTCCCACATTCGCAACGACTCCTTTGTAACCTTTAAAAATGCCGGTTTCTGGGTTCTGGGCAAAATGCCAGATTTGGTCCATCCCTATGCATAGCAAAGGTATTAGATCAATTCAGTTACGGAACTGCTTTGTGAATCTGCTTTCACAAGCAGTATGCCCCCCTCATGCAGCGGTCCCCCTGCATGAGGTGGGTAGCATCGCAACTTGATAGAATACACTTTTTTTTTTTAAGCAGGGCGGATAGATGGCGCTTTATCAAAATCTATGGAATGCACACTTTTGAAACAGACCTCTTGACTGCGGTGCCTTAAGCGACGGGAGGCGGACTGGAGGGAGTGAGGAAGGCATCCTCTCCGCGAGACTTCCCCAACCGAGCTCATCTAATAGCGTAGGTATATAATGCCAAATGAGGGATGTGTTCCAAATCTTACTCGAATGGATCCGAGGGACTCCGGCGTATAATGTCGCGTGACAAGACAAACAGAGCAGCTGTCGACCCGTGTAAAGGTTTTCGAACGCCAAGGTACAGAACCTTGAACCTAGAGTGAGATCGAATAAATTTTGAAACACGGTAAAGGTGATAACTGCAGAGAGGAGCGTCCATTTTTCTGCCACCAGCGCGAACTTCCTACTTTCGACAGCGCCTCGACGTCTCCTGCATCCTGACAGAGCGTGCGCTAGAAGCCGGTCGTTCAAGCGACTGCTTGAACGACCGGTTTATTATGAAGGAAGCTCCGTACAATGGGGTGATGTTAGTTCACATTACATCTTAATTACATTGCGCCACCTCTGCTGCCGTGCATCGTTAGAGTCTTTCCGCAAGCGCGGCAACGCCGCTGACGGTCTGCGCGAGTAGAGCACGAGGTGGCACGAAGTGTCTTCGTGAACTGGCGCTGCCTTTTATAGACCACAATTATGGTGGCGTCTCGTATGCGTGGAACGCATAGTGAGATCGGTCTCTTGGTGATCAGTTTGTAATAACACGCTCAGTGCAAGAACACAAAACACAAACCTGTGATTTGTTTCTCGATGTTTTGTATCTGCGCTGAACACGCTTTAACCATATAACTGCGGTTTTATTTGCTTGCTGTTCAGGTATGCTCGATCTACTACGTACAATTCGACGCCATTACACCGCGTCATTTTTAAGATTTCGATTGAGGTATTACAAGGCGGCTCAGAAATGTAGCTCGGAAATGTTGGAGCTCCGGGATCCCTGAGTGACGCTAGAATTTCCTCATCCGTCCAGGGCTAGAGCAATAAAATGTGGCGTGAGGATACCGGCCAATGAATGACGTCGTCACTGCCCCGTGGCCTCTGTTCTCGCAGATCTCCCGGAGATCAAGTACGACGGAAACCCTCCGGAGGAAGTGGCGGAAGGCGACTCGTTGAAGCTAAGTTGTGCCGTGACGGACGCTAACCCGCCGGCCAGTGTCGCCTGGCGCAAGACCGGACAGTCGAGCATCTATGCAAAAGGGAGCAGCCTCGAATTTACCTCCATCCGCCGCACAAACTCTAGTGTTTACAGTTGCTTCGCCGAAAATGACGTCGGAAAAAGCCCCGAGATCCCTGTCAGAGTTGACGTCAAATGTGAGTGGCTGGAGTTGGTGGCGTAAAAAAAGCGCCCATGTTGTTTTCGCACTCGTTGTGCGGCGTGCAATATACCGGATGCTTATACCTAATAATTGTTTTACAGCGAAGCGGTTTATCGTCAGGGTTGCGTGGATTTGTTTTGTGCAGTGACTGAAACCTCTATGCACGCACCGCTACACGCGCTGCACGCGCACGCCTTCCCTGTATAAAGGATTCGAAGTAAATTACGAAAGTAAAGCGTTAAACAACGCGCGTGCAAGATGACATTTGTTTTAGGCTTTATCTTCAGAACAGTTACTAATGCAGACGCCGACGCCACACGCGCACGCCTTTCCCGTATATAGGATTCGATGTAAATACCCTAAATAAAACCTTGATGAACGCGCGTGCACGATGCCATTTGTTTTAGGCTTTTCCTTTAGAACAGCTATTGTTGCAGCAAAAGCCGGCACGTGCGGCGCGTGGAACACCGTTCTGGTTGATGCTTGTGCAAAAATAGGTATAGGAAGTATTCACTGGTGGCCATATCTGTGTGCGTGGTTGCTGAGCGCGTGCTGACGGCGAGCTTCCACAGTTCTTTTGCAACGCGCATTTCGCACCATCAAGATTGCCGGTATTATCAGGCTATTAATGTAAGCTCGTTCTGAGCATGCGTCCTAAACATCGCCCTCAAACACGGCGTCAAGTGAATGCACCCTATGTTCGTTAGATTAGTTATCAATAGGCACCATTTTCAAGGTGAGTAGGCTCTCAGGTAGATAATAAAGGTTTTTAAACATTTGCCGCTGTGCAACCCGAGTAGGCCATGTCTAGCCTTGCACCACCCTCTCTTCGTCACCGTTCTAAGCGCTTGCGTTCCTAGTTTCCTTTACTTCCGCTCTCCCGCGGTGGCGGTCCCGTCTTGCGTGTCTAGTTTCCTCCGGCTCCTTGAGAGATGTCTGTGTCATGTGCTAAACGGATGTGCTAGCCATCCACTTTCACGGCTCACGTTTTCTCTGCAATCCGCAGTTCCTGCGAAGATTATTCGGGTGGAGCCGCCGACGACCACCTTCACTCTCAATGAGGACATCACTCTCCACTGTTACGCTGAAGGAAATCCCGCCCCAGAGTGAGTGGTCGTTTTCATAGTCGGATTTGCAGGAGAGGCTGAAATCAGCACTACTGCGAACGGGTGGACTTGAAGTGTCTTAACTTTTTCGAGCGCAGCTCTTAGGGGCCCGTTTCCAGCCTGAGCGGCGTCGGCGTCGGCGTCGGCGTCGGCGTAACCGGGGGGGGGGGGGTCACATGACCCCCCCCCCCCCCCCGAGGTTACGTTATCCCCCCCGAGGTCACGTGACCCCCTTTCCCCCGAGATCACGACCCCCCCCCCCCCCGGGGTCACATGACTACCCGCAGATGACGTGACTCCCCTCAGTACCCTTCCCTACTCCTCCTCAAGAGCTGCGCTCCGATTCGGCGTTACAGGGATTTGTAAACGGCTTTCATTTTTTTTCTTTCCTTTTATGGTAGACAGAGTTGTACGCGCATACATACATATGTACATACTTTATTCTTCGATGCACCGGAAGAACCGAAGATTTGATTTGGGGCACATACCTCCGTGCAATGTGAACAACACATATATAGAAGAAGCGATACCGTCGTAAGGTGAAAATCAATGTTTCTAGTTCCCATTTAACAGACAAATAGTCGATAAAAGCATCCAAGGAAGTAGTTGAGGATATGGCATTAAAATGGGAGTTGAATGTGTTATATTGGACAAAGTTTCTCCTGAGAGCCATGATTAAACAAACGGGCGTGTCTACTGGAACCTAGGGGCACGTGAAAGTTAACTCTTTCCTGATCATGCCATCCGGTGATCGATGGGGCATATATGCCATCGATCAACGGTGTGCGATGGTTTCCAAGCGCCGCTAAGAAAAAGATGGTGCGCAGAGAATTGTATTCCACACTCTCGTGGATAGCCAAGAACGTTAGTTTTGGTTTCAAGGTAGGTTCAAGCTTAATCACAACGCGGTGTTCTGTCAAAGCTAGTCCTGGAAACGGTAGTTGCACTTGTCTAATATGGCCAACTGCTTGCATCCGTTTTGGTAACAAAGATGGTAGTAGTTACATAATTTAACTGCATTATGGCATATTGTTTTCGACCTCAAGCGCTCTGGAGACAGTTTAAATTGTTACAGGCGTCGCTTAACAGATGGATACAATTCCCGATATTAATAAAAATAAGAAACATCAGTGGTCTCAAGTTTGTCAGGTGAGGGCCGCCGGACCAAAAAAACTAAGGTATAAAAAAATTATTTAAAATTTGCACACTACTTTTACGGTCGGTAAGATAACACTGAAACCATCTGGTGAGTGAAGGAGAAACACCATAGAAAGATAGCTTATGCAGAAGCAATTTGTGATTTACTCTGTCGAACGCCTTCGACTTGTCGAAATGAACTGTTTCAACTTTATCGCGATTTAAGAGAAACGGCACGGTGTAGTGAAGGATCGAACGGAGGTTCGTTTCCACTGAACGGCTCTTCAGGAAACCATGCTGTAAATCAATTAGCGTGTGCCGGAAGTAGTTAGACATAGGGGAAAACAAGAATCTCGAAAACCTTCGAAAAGGCACATAACAAAATAGGTCTATAGGCTCCTTGCACTGACGTCACATCGCACCCATTTGAACACCAAGTAAAAGGAGGAGATCCGGGGAAGCTGCTTTTGTAAGAATTTTGAGTGACAGGTTAATCTTCTCTAATCTTCTGGGAGGAGAATGGCGACGCCTGTGCAAATCCGGGAGGCACAAAGGAGGATCCTGATGAGAGGGGAGCTCCTTCCTCTCCTCTTCTCTGGAGGGCAACGGAAATGACGTCCTGTGCAAGCCACGTATATTTTGTCGCCATTCAACCATCACCACTATTCTGCACAGGAACCACAACTGACCTTTTCCACGGGAAAGGGAATGAACTCAATGGGAAAAAAAGGATTAAACATTTGCTCTTAAGCAGGTACGAAAAATTCGGAACAGCCCTTGATGATGAAGCCGGGTATCTGAACAATGCCCACAAAAATCATTGCCTTTAGTTGTTTTATCGCTTCCGAGATTTTAGATGTTTCGACACTAGTAATATTCAAAGTGTAATGAAAGTTAGAAGTATCAGACGTTAGACATCCGTATCTATCGGAAGGGTAGCACTCTCGGAAATGATTCTCAAAGCCATTCGCTATATCTTGGGGCGAGGAGGCATATACCCCAGGCTACATGTCAAAATTTTAAACATGTTGAAAAAGTGCATAACTTTCTCTTTACGTTAGCTGTTCAGAGATATAGTAGCTATAATTATGTTTAGTGTTGATTGGTGAGAAAGAACACCTTACATAACAAAAAGAAAATATTGTGCTTTGTCGTTACCTTTGCATTTAGTGCAACTGGTGGCTGACATGATGCAAATTGCTTATTGGACCACTGAACAGACCTCCCTAAGTTACTCGTTTAGACAAAATGTTTGGCAATGCTCACTGTTTTAATAAAAGCGACAAACTAAAGGCGTAATTAAGCAAAGTTCAAGTGAATAATATTGGTCCTTACAGTTTATTCGGTCCCTTTGGGTAATAAAAGCGGCACGATCAGGCAATTGAATGTCGACATCTGTAAGAAGTTCTACAACGTTCACATTTGATAAATGAATTTTAATATGAAAATTTGAGAATTCTAATTACTATGCGAATTGTGGTTAAGCTTACGGGTGTATACATAAGCGCAGTTAGAACTTCATTACCGCGGACCATAGGAGCGGAATCACCCCGTCTTGCATTTTTCTTTGTCCGCGGTACCCACAAGCTCTATTATTTATTATTTTGGTCAAATTTTTACAAATATAAAACCCAACCTTCGCATACCATTCCTAGTTCAGTCCACGCCTTTCTCAAAGGCGGAGAGGTACAAAAACAAAAACAAACAAACAAACAAAAAAAAAACGAAAAGGAAAACGAAGGTCTGTTTAAGCTCATGTTCTCTGCAATAGTACAGCTTCGTGCAGGCCGGCTCTCGTTCGTCTCTCTGCTTTTCTGGAACGTGACGTTTTTGCTGGTGGACGCCAATCATCTTCGTGTATTGTCGGGCTTCGTCGGCCTAATTTTCATTCCTAGAAATCGTCACAATCACCTACCCTAGTGAAAAAGCCATTTGTATCAGAAATTTATTGTGTCCAATAAACATATTTTAATTATACAATATATATATGAACATATAAGAACCAAATAAGAAACTTCTCCCAAGTTCCTTTATATGGTTCTTATATGTTCTTATATATCTAAAATAGTTCTTATATATACATTCAGGACGGAGTTTGGCCAAGCAATGACCAATGGCTGGTGATGGTATTTTGGCCAATGACCAAAGAGTGGCCATTCATTGGCCAATGCTTGGCCGAAGGCTGATGGCCAGTGGACCTAGGCCAATGGTTAGAGAAATACGAATCACCACTCAATGGCTGGCCAGTGTTTGGCCACTTGCCAAAGGACGATTTCCAGCCATTGGCCAATGATTGGCCAAATCTGTGCTGATTGGGTAGTTGTTATATGGTTTTTCTATGTTCTTATATATCTTGTATGATTCATATGTGTCTATTGGACACATAATAAATTTCTCATACAAATGAGATTTTTCAATGGGGTATAACCTCCGAATGAGTTAATGGCAAGCTTTGAAACTTTTCATTTCGTCCGAACCGCTAGAGCTACATTTTCTGGAAACATCATTCGGTGTTTTGTTTTGCTTTGCTCTGTCCTGCAGATAAAAATTCTGGAGCCCATCCACTTCACGTGACGATGGAGCACCAGCGAAGTTGTTATCTTTTTCGACAACTTTAGGACAACTATACGACATCTATACGATTTACATATGATTGAAATGGTGACACGTACACGACTTCGTTTTTTAATAGACCCTTATCGAAATACTGCCCTTTGTTAGTAGCCGTGGAATCCCTGAATAATGGCGGACTAAAACCTCGACGTCACGCCACGCTGGAAAAGAACACACCGATCGAAAGAGCTGATGAGCGCAGTGACGTTGAGATTTCGCTTCTGTTTGAGTGGCTTGTCGGCTCGTAGTGTTGGTCACGCTCCGACGTTCGCTATCTTATCAAATGACTTTCATGTTCCTCGCTGCAGTTGTTCCGCCATCGTGAAGTGCTTCCAACCTTTTAGTAATCGGCCGGTGACTTTCGAAAGCGGTTTATTGTGTTTATTTAATTGTTTGCGACTAAAGTAATCTGTGTATTATGGCCACTATAGTAAACCGCCATTCGTTGAATTTTGACTTCGAATACGTTCTTACTAAACATGAGGTCAATACATGTTCTATCGCTGGTCGTTGGTATATGTATGTGTGTGTGTATACGACTAGTTTAGGTTTTACAGCTACTTGGGTTCTTTGTAAGCATCGCGGAAGCGAAAGAACATAAGGTTAGATCGGCGCGTTCTGCCCTCAGACTCGTCACAGCGCACTCTTAGTTGAAATAAGTCGGTGACCGTAAATGATAACACGGGTTCAGGACCTCACGATCTAATAATGCCAGTGAAGACTGACTCACACGGGTTGCCCTCTTTTTTATAAATTTATACTTGACACGACCAATCGGAACGAAGGACAGCCGAGTAAACCGGAGTTTGTTTTTTTGTTAACATCCACGGAAGTATTTTTTACACATCGTAGCACAACACAGTTTCGCCGTAAAAACTTCGGCCATCATTTATGGTCACGACATAGATACGAGGGCGAATTTCGTTTATATTAAGAAAAAACAACAAGACAACATAAGACCTTTCCTTTAATTATCGTTTTATTTTGTCATCTCGCAGGATTACTTGGTTGAAGCAAAACGAGGAAGACCCAGAGAAGTGGGACATCCAAAGCCAGAACAGGACGCTCACAATCGAGAACGCATCGTACAGCAACAGCGGCGTCTACCGCTGCGACGCCAGAAACATGATTCGAACCAAGCAGCACATGGCGAAATCGCGAGAGATACGCCTTGCCATCAAAGGTGGGCTGAGCCAATCTCACTTCCTCTCGTCGACGCCAATCTCATTTTTTCAATAAATGTAGAGCATCTTACTGGAAAGTCTGCCGTAGAAAATAACCTCTCTGATTGGTAACGCTTTCTAAGCTAAATGTGGAAGGACTGCTATACAGTCAGACCGAGCAATGCATATTCGGTTAGACGCAGAGTACTACAGCCTACTTTAAGTCTGTGTGTACAAGTAATTTCTAATAAAACCGCTCCTTTTGAAGCGCGGCATTCTAAGTGCTATTTAGTTTAAATTGTTACTAAAAACAAATTCACGAAATCTGTCCTGGCCTGCTTTACCTGACATCTTCCACTCCGGTCACAGGCAAGCCAACTCTGAGAACGAACATAGAGTGGAAAAGAAATACTGATGGCAGTCACAGTGCAGAACTTGTTTGCACGGTAGACAGCGTAACTCGAAGTCACACAAAGTGGCTGGGCAACGACGGGTCCCCGCTGCTCCAAGGCGCATCCATCCAACTCTCCGTTGTCGGAAATGACCACAGGGCCAAGATCAACAATGCAAGCGAACTGAACTACGGCAACTACACCTGCGTCTCAAAGAACAAATACGGCATTGCCAACAGCACTGTAGAGATCTCGGGTGAGTCAGGATAACCGTACATTTGCAGACCTGAAAACGGTAGAAATACGGTAAATTGGAATGCATTTCAGCGTTTATATTGCGAAGTGTTCATTGTACCTGTCTGGTAGTTTTGTTCATATATGAACAAAATGAAGAAGGCTGTCTTCCAGTGCTACATCGCTGACTGGAGAAAGATGTTTATGCTTCTCGATTATTGTAGACCAGAATTGAACTTTGACGATTCTCAGTCTATTCAGATTCTCATCGCAAGCGTTGTCAACAGAGGAAATATACATCCATGTATATTTCCTCTGTGGCGGCATCGCGGATATTCTGTATTTTAAAGTTGTTCCAAACAAAACGCCACCTTAGACGCGTGCATAAATTCGTGTTTCGCTAATTGGAGCTTATAAGGAAAGAAATAGTATATACCCTCTCGCCACTAAGCTGGCTATACAGCTAAAGTATCGGAAGTCCGTTCCTCTATCTTCAACAGTGCGCAAATTCTATTTTTCCAAGAGAAGTGCATTCAGTAAATCATTTTGAACTCCTCCCTCACACGGTACGACAACTCCCTTCCTCTGCCAAACGTTCAACTTTTTCGGAAACACCGAGCCGTGAAATAAATTGGAAGCTGAGAGCTGACGGAGAAATTATGTTGGTTTTCCCTGGGGCATCCAAAATTGAAACATTTCTTCAAGAAACAATAGTGAAATGGACATATGTTTGGTATTGATTTGTATTGCGTGCTCTGGGCGGCCACATTTTTTTGTCCTGTCAACTACACAAAACCTACTGTTCTCATTTGAACAATTCAAAGTTTTTGATGTCACTGAAAATTCCGGTGAGTTTCCAAAAAGAAGAAAGCGGGAGGTTCCTTTCTTGGAAATAGGAGCGCATTGCTCCTTATTTTATGTGCGTTGTTTATTTACCCATATTCTCATAAGAAAAGATGCCCAAATACTGCGACATTTCTTACCTACCTCTAATTTTTTTATGCATTCCGTCGTCCGTCATAAATCGGCTCCGATATTTTGCTTGAGATATGTTGTCAATCATACAGGTTTGAGTTTGAGACCCCGGCAATGGAGTCTTGTCTTTTGAAATATTGTAATGCACACACGTTTTTCATAGCTATCCGACTTCGAGTTCCGGCAGCTTATTTTGTAGCATTTGATTATTTCTAGAAATATTAGTTAATGTCACAGTGATAATTGTTGAATGTGTGTTTTGAACTCCCGGCCTTGAGGATGCGCTTCAACCCTTCCGCCGTGTTTTTCCTGCAGGAGAGCGCTCGAATATCACGACACACCAGAGCCTTGTCAAATATTAAAGCTCGCGGCGGAGGCTCCTCAATGCCAATCTCGCATTTTCAGTAAATATAGAGCATATTACTGCACAGTCTGCCGCTGAAAATAACCTCTCTGTGTTGTAACGCTTTCTAAACAGAGTCTGGCAGGAAAGACGTAGCATATAAATACAGACTGCTATACAATCAGACCGAAGAATGCTTATTTGGTTAGAGGCAGAGTACTACAGTGCTCCTTTAGTTTGTGTGTTAAAATAATTTCGATTAAATCCTGTTCCTTTTGAACATACTAGGAGTCCTTGTGGTTGACCATTTTTGTTCAACGTTACTTTGTCTTTCCGTAGAGGACTTATCTTAAGAAAAACATTGCTGTGTTTAAGAAATGTTTCGTGCAATCAAGCTTAAAATAAGGAAGGTTTAAGCGATATATCGAAGAAAAATTATAAACGCGGGGCACCTCACCGGATATTACAAAGCGTTTAATGTGGTATCGTTTAGTTACAAAGTGCCCCTTTCAAACACGTTACCGCCACTTCATAACCTAGGGTCTTCCTTCTCGGTCGCAGGCAAACCAACGTTGAAAACAACAATGCAATGGACACGCGTTGTGGACGGCAACCGCATGGTTGAACTTGTTTGCGAGGTATTTGGCGCCAATGCAAGTCGCACAGATTGGCTTCGAAGTGACGGATACCCGCTGGTTCACAGCGAGTTTGTGCATCTCTTCGTCGACGGCAATAAACACACGGCTCAGCTCAACATTGTGAGCTCATTGGACTACGGCAATTACACCTGCGTATCCGAGAACAAATACGGCATTGCAACCAGCGCTGTCCAGGTCTCAGGTGGGTAAAAGGTCATAACATTGACATTTGTGACTGACATAAAAAAGTACTAAATTCCGTTTACATTGCTAAACAAGTACGCCTTTCAGAATATATATTTCATAAAAAAAACAATTTTAAAAATACGTATTTTCTACGCACACCTTGGTGATTAAATACACGACTTGATAATGTTGTTACAAATGTACTCACGGCAAACCATTTAAAGTTTCCGAGGTTATGCCTTTCCAATATCCATGAATCCAGTTACCCATCTCCGCCAACCGATTTGATCATTCAATTTATTTTTCTGTCGTTACGTTTATCTCGTGGCATTTCTGCCGTGTTCGGCATTCCTTCCTAAAAGGGCACCATATTAGAAGTTATAGTGTGTGATTTACTCACCTCGATCTCTGGAGTTTGCAGGAGAAAGTGAATCACACACCCCAATTGGTGAAGTACCACTCTTTAGAAAAAATGTGTGACACGTACACTGCAAAACTATTTTCATATAGTCTGCAGGCTCAGAGCGTAAGTTACTTCTTGTGCACTCTAAAGAAAGTCTTCGCATCCACTTTCACGCACAAAGCTCGGAAAGCCAATCAGCGCAACCTACGGAGTCAGCTCAGCGAATGACAATGCCGAAACATATGTTTAGACCAAAAAACGCAGTCTGAGTTGTGACATTAGCTATGCAAAACGTCCCGCTTGAATTGCTTAATGTCACAACTCAGACTGCATTTTTTGGTTTAAACATACTGTTTCCGCATCGTCATTCGCTGAGCTGCCTCCGTAAGTTACGTTGATTGGCTCTCCGAGTGTTGTGCGTGAAAGTAGACGCACAGACGTTTTTTAGAGTGTGTGAGATGTCTCAATCCAAATATGCGTCTTTATTATATGTGAGTCTCTGTAATGCATAAACTATGCAACCTCCACTTCCAAAGTATCGTTTGACGGGCCTATATTTAACAGCAATCATAACACTCAATATAGAGGCCTTCTTTTAATACTTTTACAATCGCTCAGAGCTAGCACGCTTTCCGGCCAAGACGGTGGTATGTATGAAGAGTGACACTCAAAGAAAGTGGTCCCTTTACACTTTGTGACATTAGAATAACCGATTGATGTCTAAAGTGCAGAAGATTGCTACAGACCAATTCGTGTTCTCTTTGTTTCTGAGAGGTTGCGTCTGTTGCTTGTTGTTTTTTTTTTCTAAAATCGTCTTGCTTTTTATATATTTATTCTAAAAAACTAGATGATTTGCTGGCAGTATTTATTTCTAAAGATATTTTGACAAACGTATAAAGAACTTAACGATCACTATTCATCCCAAGCTATAAGTAAAAACGTGACCGCCTAAGCAATATCTATTCTAATATTCCACTAAAACAAATTCAGGAAAAGTACGTGTTACTGACTTCGCAATTCGACGTTTTGCATTTCACTCACAGGCGAGCCAACTCTCAGAACGACCGTCCACTGGACACGCAATCTTGATGGCACTCGCGATGCAGAACTTGTTTGCACGGTATACAGCGTGAATCCAAGTCGCACAAAGTGGCTGGGCAATGACGGGTCTCCGTTGCGCCCAGACGAATACTTACAACTCTCCGTCGACAAAAATAACCACAGGGTCCAGTTGAACAATGCAAGCGAACTGAACTACGGCAACTACACTTGCATCTCCCAGAACAAATACGGCACTGCTATGAGCACTGTAGAGATGTCAGGTGAGTAAGAGAAACTAAAATTGGGAGACATTAACTATAAAAAAACTAGGTACATCCTGTATTATTGCTTAAACTAACGCACCTTTATGAACCAAGACAATTTTGTATAATTTGTACCTGTATTGTTTTATTATTCATAAGAGAATGTAAAAAAAAAGTTCCTTATCGCATTTTGCTGATGAAATTTAGGTGTTGACATTGTTTTTATACTACTAATCGTGGCAAAACTTGAAAGCTTCTGACCTTCGGAGGGCAGCGAATTCCCAAGCATGTTTTTTCTATCGCCAACAAAACATTGGATCATTAAATTTGTTTTCAGTCCTGGCCTTCTTTTGGTTACAAATCCGCCGTGCTCAGCAGCTCAACCTAGAAAAGACGTCATATAATAGCTTTTTTTGTCATTTACCCACATCGCTTTTTGAAATTATCAGGAAATAGTGAATCGCACACACAATTGGTGAAGTAGCATAACTTCTAGAAAACATTTGTGAACCGTAGACTGAAATTTTTTTTACTCCATACATATGCTGAAGGCTCAAAAAGAGTTATTTTTAATTTAGATGCATTAATGAAGGCTCCCTTTTGCAAGTATCTTTTAAAAAGCCGTTTTAACAGCAACGCGAGTATTGACTATAGAAGATGTTTTTTTAATACTTTCGGTCTGTCGGATTGCTAGCAGACCTTTCGCCAAGACTGTGGTACGCTAGTGGTAGAGTAATCTACAAAGGTGGACCCCGGAAACTCTATTAGAGTAGAAAAGCTGTATTGGTGTCTAAAATGCAACGCAATATTACAGAGAAATTCATTGTGGCTTTGTGACAACGTGTTTGTCTAGTGTTTCTTTCTTATCAAACGAATAGTCATTCGTATCACATAATATAGCTTTAGCAAACTAGACTCTTTTCTGGCAGTATCAATAGATGAAGCATTTTTTTTCAACCCGAACATAGAAATAAAGCTATGTATTGTTATTCACATTCATTTTAATACTTTCGAAATTAAATCCATTTTAACGAAAAAAGTGGAAGCTTTCACAATTTCTCATATGCAAAACGCAGAAACGTAACATTTCAAGTGATATTTAGTTTAAACTTTTACTAAAAACAAATTCATCAAATCTGTCCTGACCTTCTTGACCTAAGGTATTCCATTCCGGTCGCAGGCAAGCCAACTCTGAGAACGAACATAGAGTGGACAAGAAATACTGATGGCAGTCGCAGTGCAGAACTTGTTTGCACGGTAGACAGCGTCACTCAAAGTCGCACAAAGTGGTTGGGCAATGACGGGTCCCTGCTGCTACAAGGCGAATCCATCCGATTCTCCGTTGTCGGAAATGACCACAGGGCCAAGATCAACAATGCAAGCGAACTGAACTATGGCAACTACACCTGCGTCTCAGAGAACAAATACGGCATTGTCAACAGCACTGTAGAGATCTCGGGTGAGTCAGAATGACCGTATATTTGCAGACCTAAAAACGGTAGAAGTACGGTAAACTGTAGTATATTTTAACGTTAATATTTCGAAATGTCCATTGTACCTGTCTGGTAGTTTTGTTCATGTATGAAAAAGTTGAAGAAGGCTGTCTTCCAGTGCTACTTCGGTGACTGGAGAAAGATGTTTATGCTTCTCGATTATTGTAGACCAGAATTGAACTTTGACGATTCTCAGTCTATTCAGATTCTCATCGCAAGCGTTGTCAACAGAGGAAATATACATCCATGTATATTTCCTCTGTTGCGGCATCGCGGATATTCTGTATTTTAAAGTTGTTCCAAACAAAACGCCACCTTAGACGCGTGCATGAAATCGTGTTTCGCTAATTGGAGCTTATAAGGAAAGATATAGTATATACCCTCTCGCCACTAAGCTGGCTATACAGCCAAAGTATCGGAAGTCCGTTCCTCGATCTTCAACAGTGCGCAAATTCTATTTTTCCTAGAGAAGTGTATTCAGTAAAGCATTTTGAACTCCTCCCTCACACGGTACGACAATTCCCTTCCTCTGCCAATCATTCAACTTTTTCGGAAACACCTAGACGTGAAATAAATTGGAAGCTGAGAGCTGACGGAGAAATAATGTTCGTTTTCCTGGGGCATCCAAAATTGAAACATTTCTTCAAGAAACAATAGTGAAATGGACATATGTTCTGTATTGATTTGTATTGCGTGCTCTGGGCGGCCACATTTTTTCGTCCTGTCAACTATACAAAACCTACTGTTCTCATTTGAACAATTCAAAGTTTGTGATGTCACTGGAAATTCCGGTGAGTTTCCAAAAAGAAGAAAGCGGGAGGTTCCTTTCCTGGAAATAGGAGCGCATTGCTCCTTATTTTATGTGCGTTGTTTATTTACCCATATTCTCATAAGAAGGGATGCCCAAATACTGCGACATTTCTTACCTACTTCTAATTTTTTTAGGCATTCCGTCGTCCGTCATAAATCGGCTCCGATATTTTACTTGTGACATGTTGTCAATCATACAGGTTTGAGTTTGAGACCCCGGCAATGGAGTCTTGTCTTCTGAAATATTGTAATGCAGACACGTTTTTCATAGCTATCCGACTTCGAGTTACGGCAGCTTATTTGTCGCATTTTAATATTGCCACAAATATTAGTTAATATCACAGCGATAATTGTTGAATGTCTGTTTTGAACTCCCGGCCTTGAGTATGCGCTTTAAGCTTTTCGCCGTGTTTTTCCTGCGGGAGAGCGCTCGAATATCAGACCCTCGTCAAATATTAAAGCTGGCGGTGGAGGCTCCTCGACGCCAATCTCGCTTTTCGAATAAATATAGAGCATATTACTGCAAAGTGTGCCGTTGAAAATAACCTCTCTGTGTTGCAACGCTTTCTAAACAGAATGTGGTAGGATAGATGCAGCAAATAAATACAGACTGCTATACAGTCATACCGAGCAATGCTTATTCGGTTAGAGACAGTGTACTACAGTGCTGCTTTTAGTCTGTGTGCACAAATAATTTCGATTAAAATCTGTTCCTATTGAACTTAGTAGGTGTCGTTGTGGTTGACCTTTTTCTTTTTCAACGTTACTTTGTTGTTTGCGTATAGGACTTATCTTTTTTTTAAAAAACACATTGCTGTCTTCAAAATATTTTTCGTGCATTTAAGCTAAAAATAAAGAAGGTTGTTGCGACATATAAAAAAAAAATAAAAGCACGTGGAATCTCACCGGATATTAGAAAGCGTTTAATGTCTATGAATTAGTTACAAAGTGCCCCTTTCAAACGGGTGATTCCCGTTTTGATTCATTCCCAGTTCAACCTTCCCGTTTCTTCGCCCTTTCCCATTTCGCCCTATCCCGAAACAACCTTCCCGCTTGGGCCATGGCTCGTTATCAATTCGTTATCAATCGTTATCAGGCCATGCTGGTTATCGTTTGAACTGTTCCCTAACAGTTGATTAAGTTCATGTGTCCAATGCCAGTCCTTCTAGCTATCCTCACTTTTCCCTCACTTGAAACTACCTCGGAGGCATTGCGGTGCCATCCCGAACATTAAAGCTTCACCCGAACATTAGCAGCTTCATCGGTCCGATCAAACGGGATGAGGCCTTGAGAAGACATAAGGGTCATTCTATGTGAAACGTCCCAGACGTTGCGCTCGACCGCCTTCGATTTCTAACAAAAAAAAATTCATGGCCTTTTGCCGTAACGTCCGTAGCCATGCCCTAAAATGTTGTTTACAAAAAAAAAAATATTTTGATGGCCTGAGCGCGGTTTTTACCCTTACAAATAGCATGAAACTAGGTATCAATTCATAATTGACGGAAAATCAAAGTTTTTATGAAACACCCAGTAATATTTTCTTCTTAAATCTGCACGGCTTTCGACTCGCAATGTGGTTGCGCTTGTTCAATTTTGTTTATATTAAACTATTTTTAAAAACACGATGTTGTTTTGAGAATTTAAGACATTTGCTATTTGCTTAAAATATTTACTTGCTCCAGGCATTTAATAGAAATTTTTACCGACTGGCCTGCAGGTATATAATCTATTAAGATGTTTAAACCCTTCAATTAAATATCACGCTGTAAAAAAACAACCTGAAGTTGCGAAAAAAAATGCGTTTTGACGGATAAGCCGCGGTTTATTTTATCCTTAGGTGGTCCAAGTAAAAATGCAATACATGGTGGGATTGAGAAAACAATCGGTTGTCTTTTGAATGTGAAAGTTCAATCGAAGTGCTTTTTTTTTAAGCGAGAAAACATTTTTTGAAGTTGAACTCTCGCACAACAACCCGGCGTCGCTTCTTAACGCCTCTTCGCCGCACAGCACGTCACCGGCGACGATTGCGGACACGATTTGGTCCAAAGAAAGAACGAAGTTTACCGCCACTTCCCCTTCTCCGTCTTTTCAGCTGCAAGGGAAAAACGGCGGGCATCGTGTTGATACTCGGAGGTGCCACCCGTGCGTAGCCATAGCAGGCTCGTTGTGCCCTATGTATCCGAGGGCGGATCCTCACACTCCGAAAAAAGATGCCTAATCGACCGGCGGCATCAGCTGACGTGGACTTCTCCTACAAGGAAACGCAACGGTATCGCCGCGAAATCTAGCCGTCACGTGTACAGCAGTTAAAAGCGGAACTATTCAGCAACTCAAGACTTTGCAGTTTCAAAGCCGTTTTAAACCTCAACGAGGCGTGAGCCTCGTTTGAGTTTGAATCGGCTGTGAAACGGCAAACGTTCGTTAACACCACATCACATCGTTGATTGAGACTGCCCGTTCAGGGGCTTTTATGTTGCTGTTTAAGTAGTGTTCTGACGTTGACAATAGAGAGTGATTGCGATGTGTACGTGATCAACAGCTAGCTTACTAGTGGATGTTCTGACCCGGCAGCGCTAAGAGACTTATGATATGAAGACAGTGGAAGACCAATGGAGGACACCGCCGCGCAAAACAATCGAAAAAAAAATCCATAAAGCAACAAGAGTGGAAAAAAGCTCCCCACCAAGATGTACCCGACAACTCCAGGTCATGGTGTCCATCTGCGTGCGCACACTGTGACACCATCGCATGCTTTGGCAGGCTCTACGTTAGCCTGCTGTGCAGAGAAGAGGCGCAAGGAGCGACGCCAGGTTGCGGCGTGAGGGCTCAACTTCAAAATGTTTTTTTTTTCCCTCTTTAGAACGAAATTATATTATTTAAACTTTCACGGACAAAAGGCAATAAACAATTTTGTAAACGACACCGTATATTCGTATTTTTCTTTGGGCCACCTCAAGGCAGAATCGACGGCTCTTAAAACGGCAAAACGCAATTTGGCAAAAATTTAGTTGTTTTTGTGCGTGATATTTAATTGTACGGCCTGAAACCTTTTTTTTTTCTTGTTATCAGTATACTTCCAGGGCTTTCAATAAGAAGTTTTACAGGCACCTGTAGCAACGAGATAGTTCGTAACAAAACTACCAAAAATGCTAAAAGTCTCAAATATTTTTTTTTTTTTTTTGTAAATTGCTTCAAGCCAACATTCATGATGCTTATCACATAGCAATTTGAATTCCGTGTGGTTTTTAGGCAAAAATACTCTACCGTTCCATAAATATATCTTACTTCTCATGGAGAACTAAAATATCTTACTTCTCATGGAGAACTAAGATATATTTATGGAGAAGTCCACGTCACCTGACGCATTGAGAAGTCCAAGTCACCTGATGTCGCCCGTCGTTTTTAGCGTCACGTTTCGGAGTTTGAGGGGCCGCCCTCGGTTACAAAGGGCACACCGGGCCTGCTATGGCTACGCACTGGCGGCACTTGCGATTATTGCACAATACCCGCCGTTCCTTCTTTTGCAGCAGGGAAGGCGGGCAAAGGGAAGCGCTAGCGAGCTCCGTTCTTTCTTTGGACCTAATTGTGTCAGCTATCGTCGCCGGTGGCGTGCTGTGCGGTGAAGAGGCGTTAGGAACCAACGCCGGGTTGTGTTGCGAGAGTTCAAATTCAAACATTCTTCTCTCGCTTTAAACAAAAATTACATTGATTAATTTTTCAAAAAGCAAAGGGCAATAGATTGTTCTTCCAAACCCACAATATATTGTATTTTTACTTGGAACGCCTCAGGGTGAAATAAACAGATGTTTATGCGTAAAAACGCACGTATTTTCAAATTCCGATTTTTTTTTACTGCAAGATTTTTATTTGAGCGGTTTTAAAATTTGTTTGTGGGTTATATACCTACAGGGAAGCCGGTAAAAAGTTAATTTATGTCCCGGAAGTAATTATATATATACATATTAATAAAAATAACAAAACATATTTAAATTTGAAGAAAATTATTTTTTAATAACTTAAATTAAACAAAATTGCACAAGCCCAACCACATTGGTAGTCGAAAGCCGTGCAGCTATACGGAAAATATATTGTTGGATTGGTAAAGGCGAGAGGATAGAACATGTATACATAAAATTAAAAAGAATAAAACACGGAG